GCACTATAATACTTTAAGCGCAATAGGTATATTTAATACACGCAATTTAGTCCAAGATAATATTTCAAATAAATTAAGTTTCCGTATCTAATTACATTCTACAGTATTAAAAAAAAAAAAAACTCATATTAATTGAATAAAGTAAACACTTGTATAACTTATAGAAAGTATGTTTTATTTATTTTACATTTTCAATATTTTAATAGTGTTCAAATTTAATATATTATCTATCAGCCGTTTTCGATTAATTGTTTCCAATAGACAACCTATACTTTCATATTTGATTCTAGTTTATGATATTATATTAAATTTTATTCTTCTAAATAAATACCAAATAATTAATTTATCCACTACTAAAGTTTAAATAGAAATATAAAATTTCTTACAAAGATATATCGACTTATTAAGTATTTTAGAACTCGTGTCACATTATAGTAGGTAAATATATTTAAATTATTCATTAAACTATTCTGTCCGATAAAAATTTAATAAATTATAGAACTTAAATTATAACTAATAATATAAGAATGGATACTGAATATTAAAATTAATATAAAGTTTGTATTTTATACATTATTTGAAATCTGTGAAATCTGTTAGAACCAAAAAAAAAAAAAAAGGTGTAGGTATTAGTTTAAATTAACAGAAAATTGATATTGTGTTTTATTACAAAAAAATTTGAAATTGAAATGCTACACTGCACATGATTTTCGGCCAAAATCCATTAAATGTTGAAGTATTATTTTTTTTATTATTTTTTTGAATTCTTTGCATGTGTCAGTGTAATGTCTATATAGTCGAGTGCTACTTTTTATATTTTTATTACGTGATAAGAAACGTCTGGTGTCAAGTTTACGCACGTGTACGGTTAGTGGTTTTGATTTAGGTATATGTACAGCAGAGGACGTTTTTGTGTAAACAATAAAGGGGAGGGCCAAACAGAAAGAATGGATAGTGATAGTGGAAGCAAGTTTGGCATTGCGACGCGGTATATTTCTTCCCATTAAACATTCACCCCGCGGGTAGTAGTTTTTTATTTTATTTTTATAGACTCATAGTTTTCAAGCACATGTTGTCGCCCTCTATGAAGTAACAAAAATGAACGGCTCCTCGTCACTTTCCAGTCTGAGACCTAAGTGGGAGGTAGAAAACGAAAAGGATGAGAACAAATGGTGGGGTGGGAAAAATAAAAACCATATAAAATATTCAAAACGGTTTTGACAGTGTTTTACCACGGATTTTCCAATCCAAATCTCGTTGCATAATTTAGCAGCAGAATACAGGTGCTGAATACACTACGCTGTTACCCCACACGTTCATTGAGAAAGTCTGTATACAAACGAAGCAATTTACTTTTCTGGTCGAAATAAGGTCTCGGGAAAACGTATTATTTTTATTCAAATATGTAGACCGTATATTATAATATAGTATATTGCCACCATCGAACTCGATCAAATGGACAAATCGTATACGAGATTTCAACACATTTTAAAATATATATGAAATAAATTCGAAAAAAACAAGCACTAATATTTAAAACTAAAACACATGCGCACAATCACAATTGTTTCGTTAACATAAAAGATCAATTTAAGTTGTTGGAATGGCGTTTTCCATATGTTTATTTAATTAAAGTCCAGTTTACTAAAACTAGTACAATTAACATAATTTATCGCACTCCGAAATCATTGGTTTTTTTCTTTATAATTTATAATGAAAATTATAATATAATATATCGCAATAAATATGTTATATCACGTACATACAGAATACATTTTAAACTGAACTTAATATCATACACATATATCCTTGGTTGAGCTTGTTTTGGACTGAAAAATATTTATATAACTGTAACATATATTTTAAAAGTATAATATTTTATGACATAACTATTTAAATTTGTCTAATGCATTAAATATTTTAAAGTTTTATTATTGAAACTTTAACACCTGAATATAATTTTTCATTAATTTTATTCATTCCAAAATAAAATATTGATATTTGATTGGATTTTGTTCTGTGTAAAAAATGAATTATAGCTTTAAATCTTAATATACTCGCAGTTACATAATATTATTGAAAATATAAAGATTTTATCAGCATTTCGATGACTTTGGTAAGAAATATGTATACCTTTGATATTTTTTTTCGCAGTTCGACCACGTTTTAATTTTATATAATATTATTTTTATAATTGAAACAATGTAAAAAATATTGTGTAAATTCCGTTTTTTGTTGGTCAAAATGTTATGAATAATAATTTCAGTAATTAATTAAGTTAAACGAATTGCTTTCGATTTCTTAATTTAAATTCTTATATTACAGGAATGATTGAAAGATAAGTGAAGTTTCTATTTGAAATTAAAATAAAATTTTTGTTGTATCACTGAAATAATAATAGTAAATAAAATGAAACAGTATTTTATTATTTTAAAAACTACGATATCTTAAGCACGTTTAACTTGTGAATTTTTTATTTCGATACGACTCCTTAGTAAAAATGAACGATATACAGGTGCTTAAAGTAAAATAAAAGAGTAAATTACTTTTTATTCTGAATTTAACTTCACTATTTTCCACTTCGATTTCAATTTTATCGTGAAACTCAATAAAGCTATGTGTGTAATCTTTCGGTCGAATTCGATTTCTATTATAGACTCAAATGTTATTTTTAATCATACGTTCCTGCGATGTCCGATGAAAGTAATTTTTTATTTAGGCTTGTCAAAATGTGATATCAAAGGTTGAGAAAGAGTGGACGAGTTTTATTTTTCTTTCTGTCCCAGCAGCAGTAAATAATACTGTATTCTCGGTAATTTGACAACGGACCCTCTTAAAGAGCTTCTCTGTAAAAAGCCATAAAACCAAAATAAAAATGTACTATATATCGTATTCTTAATAGCCACTTAAGTTTACACCAGGGTAATAACTTTGACTTTTTGTTTTCGAGATTAAATGATGTTTATATAATACACCAAATAATAACAGATAAATGACTAGTAGGCTATAGCTATATATATATATATATATATATATATACTTAAGTCTACTCGCTTTTGGTAAGCGTAATACGTATCTAAATACAGACAACACAGTTGTGAAACACTTATTGTAATGTGATAATGTTGATGAACGAGAACAACAAATTTTAATTAATTAAGTTTGGAGTCTTAACATTAGAAATGTTTAAATAAAAACCAAATGCGCTAGAAACTGATAAAATGTTTTCTCCAATAATGAATACGGAGAAAATAATAAAATATTATGGCTGTCTACTTATATGCGCTTTTAACATTACGTATTGAAAAATCATGTGGATATATAAAATATTCCTGATTCATAATTAATTTATGTATCTCTTTTCTCTGAATATAATTGTTTTCAAGTCTATAGAGATGCTTTTTTAGGTTAAAGGACAGAATAAATAATAAAATTAATATCGCTTAATAAATTTCGTTTCAAATGAACTTGTGTAATTTATATGAAAAGTAGTCCTTGTTAGATGATATCAGTATTATGATAAATTCGTAATTGAAAATTAATTAAATTATACTGATTAAATTATACTTACTATGCAACTTTTAATAAAAATAACTTAAATACTTCCTTTAATCGTGATATTGCTGTATCGCGACGTTTTAAATTGATTAATATTCTATAAAAAAACAATAATTACTACGAACCATAAAATCAAAAATAATCAAATTAATAAACATTATATATTTATGCATACTGTGTTGGTTTTTATAAGTTTTTCCGAAGAAAGTACTTTGATATTATATTATAATATATTAAGACACAAACATTTTTAACCCATAAATAATTTATTACTTAAATGTAATTCTTATACAAATTAAAAAAACATAACATAACATTTTAAACCCTAGAGTCTCGAACGAATAATATATCACAGCCTAAACTCGGAGCCTGTGGGAAAATTCCAGACCCCCTTGATCTCCCCACCGTAAAATCACCACTGTATGCTTAAACAAATATGCAATATTTTTACGTATTATAAACACCAATTGAAGAAACTTATTTTTAATTGTATAATAAAAATTATTTAACAATTTAAAATGAAAAATAAATCAGGAACTCATTCAATAGAGAACACCTGCATAAATCTTAAATATTATTTAATTACATTTCAAAAAATAAACGTAGGCAACATAATATTGACAGGTTATTTGTTCCCCTGCTAAATTATATTTTTAGCTTTTTTTTACTTACATTTTAAAGTAATATTAAGTATTATTAAAAAAAGTGATTGTTTTTTAAATTTAATAGACCAAAAAATCGTATAGATTTCTTAAAATCTGATGTTCTATACCATATTTCCGAGGTTTTCTGAGTATATTTTACACTCAACTATTCAAAGTGTCTTAGAAACTATTTTTATCGAAGCACCTATTGCACAGGTACATATTTTAAATGTGTTTTCTATATTTATTTAACTTCATTAGTTGTAAAAACCTTATAAATTTATTTTTTATACTTGATTTGTTTTAATTTTATTTCCATTGAACAATTGTTGTTTTTATTTAAATTAATTAGTATACTACAATTTTTATGATATTTAAAAATTAAACAAGTGAATTCCATAATCTAATATAAAAAAATTAAACATTGTAATCAATATCTAAGTATATTTATATTAAGTCTTGGTCAATTATTGCTATATCATAATATTTAAGGTTAACTTAATTGGTAAAATCTTATAAATCAAACAAATATATTAATATTTAACGTTTTGTATACTATAAGATTAACAAAATCATAAATAAAAAAATATTTATATTTATTGTAATCTTTAAGTTAATTATTCTAATACATTTAAAATACATACACAATATTATAGTCTTATTAATATAAATATATACATTTTATAATATTAATTAAAGTAAAATACTAAATATAAATAACATTTATATATATTTGATATCTGATGTAATATTAACCATAGGAAATAATTTGTATAAAAAAAAACCATAACGAAATCTGTCATAATTTTAACAAGAACTTAAAATCTTAATTAATCAACTATAATTAATATTTGTATAAATCTATATTAACATAATATAATTTATCGGTGTAGTACTTTCGTCAACTTATTGATCAACTATGTTTTTAAATATATTTATCACAGAAAAATGTCGAATGAATAAAATAAAGTTAGCTTTTTAAAACACTCATAAAAACGTAATAAAAGATTAGGAAGACAAATGAATAAGCAATTAGCTGCATAATGGATATGATAAGGTTATTATTTTTCGGGTTGCGTGATCGGTACGTTACTACTAATTGTATCGATGTATTTTTTCTGTGCATTGTTAGATATGCTAAAATAAAAAAAGAAACAATATGATAATCTTCATCATTACTATAAGAATTATTAACCTACCTAATACATTCTTCCACTTCTTCTAGTGTATCAGAAAGGTGATTGCCTGTCTCCGGTAACATAAGTACAGATAATCCGCCGATGACACTAACTATTCCCAGTACCATTAATGGTAAAACAGAACTAAACGATGACTGAAACAAATGATAGTTGCAATCAAGGCACATTTCTATTTTTCACGTGTCCTTTTTTTTTTGTACTTACAAGATCCCAAAGGTACGGAACCATGATAAGCGCGATTCCGGCTGGTATATTGGAAGTTCCTACTCCTAAATTCCTTATGACCGTTGGAAACAATTCAGCCGTGTACAATGGCATAATGACATTTGCCGAGGATACCGAAAATTTACCGGCCATCACCAATGATAGCGAAACCCATTTTTCCGTATCTATAAGGAGAAGCATTCAATTGGCTGCATTCGAATTGGGTCCCGAATTAAAAACCACTACACTAGTTGGGTCCCAAATTGTTTTAGGTACTACACTAGTTGGATTTCGAATTATTTTAGGTACTACACTAGTTGGGTCTTGGATTTTTATAGGTATTACACTAGTTCCTGAATATTTTTTGGTAAGTACTATATTATATTAACATTTTCCTCCCCATTTTAACAGGCATAGATAGTCATCTATGATATATTTAAACCACAGGTATGGTTAAAATGTTTTTTATAGATTTTTTTTTGATTTTTTAGTTTCTTTTCCATTATTTTTTGTTTATATTATATAATGATTTTAACATTTTTAATATTTTTACCAACAGAATTCTAATAATTTATATTTTAATGGAAAAAAAATTAAAAAAAAAAAAAATCTATAAAAAACATTTTTAACCATACCTCTGGTCTAAATAGATCATAGGCAGTCCTAAGTCTGTTAAAATGGCAAGGAAAATGTTAGTATAATGTAGCACTCACCAAAAAACATTCAGGAACTAGTGTAATACCTAAAATAATTCAGGACCCAACTAGTGTAGTACCTATAAAAATACGGGACTCAACTAGTACACTACCTGTGATTAGCCCCTAGTACTCGGGACCCAACTCGGATGCTCCGGTTCAATTAACTGTGTATCGAGCAACATAATGAAAAACAATAAATCAATAAATACCTGATGGTATAATTGTAGTAAACAGGCACGCTATTCCTCCAGCTACCATGGTGATGCATAAAGGTAATCTTCGACCCATTTTGAGCAATATCACTACGCTGATCAGTATTGATGGAATCTCGACCAAACCTAAAAATTAAAAATCTGAAGTTAAAGTACATTCGCTGATACCTTAAATCGATATTGAATCGCATAACATAATATTATTGTGTATACGTTTAATGATTCATCATAATTTAAAATTATATATCGATAGTATAACCTATTTCTATAATACAATATTAAAAAATAAATTATACATTACATTATACTATATTACAAGATTAAGCTATGACTATTGTGTCAATTACTGTTTTTAAATTACCAGATATTATAGTATTAACGTAAATATTTCCACCGATGTTGGATAGATTAAGTACAAGACCATAGTATACTAGGTACAGACTGAACCAAAGTATATATAAAACAAGTGAAATTTTCCTTATATTTTTGGTTCGGAACAAATCTGAGACTCGAACTTTAGGTTTGCCATTAATCTCGAATTTGCTAATACTCTGAAAAAAAATACAGTCAATGAAATGCTAAATCTAACTATCATTTAAATATATATTGTAACTAAATTCAAAAATATTATGTTTGCATTTAGCTTTTTAAATATATCAAGTCTTACAGTCATTAAATTTATCACATTTAGAATGTGTCGATTTGTTTTAATAATGTACTGCAATTTTAATAACCTGTTGATATTATAATAGTTATAACAGATCTCGATTAACATCTTGTCTCTGAGTCTAGATGATTCAATAGTAAATCAATGATATATTAACTTTCGAGCTCATTTCCAAACTACTAATTACGTGAATGAGTCTTTAGTGGTAAAATTTGAATTTTTTCGATTACAGGATATTTTGCGTAAAATTTAGTAATTGATAAATTAGTTTAAGTCACAATGTTCAAAATATTAACAGACCAAATAATATAAGGTTAGTTGTGATGGATACAGCTTAAAAGGAAAATACTGAAAGTTCTAGAATGTTCCCCTGCAGTTCTTAACTAGATATATCACTTTATAATTAAATAAAGATATTTCAAGTTTTCCACTCTAGATGAATTTGTTTCTCGTAACCACTGATTAATATCAATCCCACGCAAACAGTTCTATTTTAACTAAAATAAAAGTTTTAAATTAAAATAATGTTTATAAAAATAAGTTTCAGTTCGTCTGATCGTATGAATTTAAAGTCAAATCGTTTTTGACTTTAAATTTTTGAGACACTGTTAATCACGTTCGGCGTATTCTTTTCCGATATAGAATCTTTAAATCGGCTTTTAACTTACAACTTCAGTACAGGTTTTAATTAACAACCTTGAGTAAGTTCATGTAATGGTTAAGTAACCTATAACTATCTAAACTACGATACGGTCTACGAAGGAAATCATTTTAAACAATAATTTAAAGCGTTCAGTTCAGTGACCGCATCAGAACAATTTTTCCATCATCTCCTGTGAAAATTTTGATATTCATTATATATTATTAAGATAAGCTATTTTAAGAATACAACTATATTATAAGCAAAATAATTTTTAATTTATTAAGTTCACAAAACTATAGGCAGTTAACTGTAAATACAATGAATACCCAATACACAAGTTCTTCAAAACATTCAAGTTTGTTGTTAGAATTTTTAATACTTACACAGAATTAATTTTAAAGCTTGCATACAATATGTTCGTATGTTTTATAATTTAATGTTTACTTACTTGATTGAGAATTTTATCTATATTAGCTGGTAATGGATTGTTATTGATTTTAGAGGCCTTAATTAAAACTTCCTTGGTCTCTTCGACTTTACCCATGGCCAATAACCACCTCGGTGATTCTGGTATAAACCTAGTAATTTATATTATTAGAGTTGATTTTTACCATGCTTCTATTTATAATTATATATTTGCATACCAATGTAAAACCAAAAAAAATACTGCGGGCAATGTAACACACCACTGCAACAACCTCCATCCTCTACATATGTATGCAATGCCGGAAATAATTATATAGCTCATCGGTACTGGGAGCAAATAAAGTACCCCTGCAATTGTTAACCATTTACCGCCGACCAGTTCCATACCTATGAACAATAAAAATCAGTGATTAATTTATTTTCGAAGTTATAAGATCGCCAACGAAATACTTACACAACACAAAACCGCTAAAGACAATGCTCACACAGACGAATCCCAATATAAATCTTAATACCATATACAATTCAAACCAAGGACAAATGGCAACTAAAATACCGAGAGTCAACTGCATAATTAAAGAAGCCATTAACGTCTTTTTTCTACCAAATCTGCAAGTATAAGACAATACATGTATTAAGTAAATTGTGCATATATTTATACAAAATAATATATTATGTTTTATCATTTAAAGAACGTAGTATACCTATAGTAAAGTGATTAATTTAGTGTAAACTCAATTGAATTCTCAATTAAATTTACTTCAAATCGATAAGTTTATTATCATCTAATTTATAAGATATTTCTGTTTAATAGATAATAATACTTTATCTAATTTATATATTTCCAACAATTATGGGTATTATAAATAATAGTTATCCAAGTATTGTGATGTTTAAACGAATTGTACAGGCCATCGAACAAAGAATAAGGATATTTAACTACATTTTTTAGATGCAAAGAAAATAGTATGAAAAAATAAAGAGAATTATGAACTCTGCACTCTGATATGTTATAAAATTCTCCATTTCGTTAATCCATTAATTATACTTGCAAAATTAATACGTGTAAGTAAAACAACTATGAAATAACATTACTTACAATTTACTGAATAATAATAATATTAATGCAGTATAAATTAGGTAATATATCTATCTTAGGAATGAATAATTTAAACGCAATATTAAAATATACGTTCTTTGAGTTTAAACAAAAACATCAACTGCAGTAGGTAAGTATGTGAATATTTTAATGAATTTCGTTACCAGGGTTTAACAGTATTGTAATCAGTTCATCCAAATAATTTTCATAATCCTTTTAAAAGTTTGTACCCTTTTTGTAGAATTATAAGAGATTACTGTATGAATAGTTGTGTTCGCTCGTTAATGTTTTAAAGTTGTCGACATTTGGCTTACCTGTCAGATACGAGACCGGAAAAGAAACCTCCAAAAGCTACACCCATCAAAAACATCATCTCGGCAAAGTTTTTTAATTCTTTCCGGTCGCAAACCAGATTCCACTGTAAACACAATACATTTTAAATTAAATAACAACTATAATTTGTTAGTAATTTTTTAATTGCTGTTAAAAATTACTTCAGAAATTATCGTATCCCCGAACTCTGATGTATTGAATTGCCACGAATTACACATTTTAATCTTATCATTCTGTGTGTTCCTTTTTAATAATTCTTCATAACTATTGTTTTCAAGTAGAATTTCGTAATTCAAATCACGATAAGAACAAGAGTCGTATGGTGAAGTCTAAATAAAAAATTTAAGTAACGTTTAGTAAACGGTAAATTAAAATAAAATCATCACCATTTATTAAACTCGTATGACTTTTTTATATCGTATAATTTTATTAGTAAAATAAAACGTGCAAACAGTAAAATATAATTTTGATAAATATCTTTACAGTCGTGTATTAAACATACTAAACAATTTATAATTTAAAACGAATTAATAATATATTAAATATTCATAGAGTAATAATCCATAAATGGAAATATATGTTTATAATATGCATTTACTGTTTCAATAACATTATGAAGTAATATTCAAGGATATTGACATCACAGGCTTCAACAATTTCAGTTTTTTCTAATAGGTACGTACAATTAAATAATACTATCTAAAATTCAACTCCATTCTATACTATGCAAATTATATTTACAATTACAAAATTTAATTTGTTTGAAATTTAAATTTATATAATAAAAAGTGTGTAGTTTTGTAATACATATATATATACATAAACTATATCTTAACGAATTAATATTTTGAATTTCATTTAGTGCTTACAACATAATTTTGATAAGTATAATATTATTGTTACTTTTGTTTTCCATAAAAAATAATCATTATTCGATTAAAAGTAAAATAAATGTAATAAATATAATAAACTTTTTCTTATTAATTCCACTAAACTTAAATGATACCATTAATTATGTTTATGTCGTGCATTATCAGATCTAATTGAAATTTAATTTTTAAATAATTTTTTATGCCTATAGCTGCTACAACGTAATAATTTATAAAAATAATATATATTACACAAATAAGTTTTTGATATTATTATAATTTATATGTAATAATAACACATGCACTTAAGTTAAAAATTAGTTTTTAAATTATATCCTTAAGTTTATAAATTGGTGATTAATTATTTATGGTTTACGCCATCCGTGGCGTATTAATGACTTATTCATCTTGGTAGTCCTACTTTTAATGAAACTTTAAACTTTCAATAAAATTAACATAACCAACATTTCTGACTCACATCAAGTTTGATTCCGCTGGATAAAATTTTACAGCAAATATCTTTATTTCTTTATAAATGATAAATTTAATTATTTACTCTTTGAACATAAATATAGTAAATAGAAAATCATATTAACTCAGTTTAAAGAATTATCATAGTACATTTTTATTTATCTGTCCTTTCAAGATTATTCAACATTTAAATTTATGATTACTTCAATTTTTTTTATTTATGAATATAGCTTTTTTAATAAAAAATATCATCAAAGAGATAACAAAAAATCTATACGTATCTCTGATAATCTTTATCAATACATTTATTACTACTTAAAATTAAAAGTGTAAAAATTATTTTTATTTTTGACACATTATTTATGTTGGTGTTGATTTGTTTTTCATATAATACAACTTAAAACTATGCCGATCGCTAAACCATAATATACAACATGCATTCAATAATAAACATTTCGTTCGGCGTTATTATACGTAATTCACTTGATTATACAATAAAGTTTAAAATGTAGAACAAATGTAGAACTACACCCGTATTACGTAATTTAAATCATAATATATATTTTGTAAAATGTCATTCTTTATTCACGATTTTCCTGTACTCCCTCCCATAATAATTTCATTTGTGCTTTACCTTGGTCGACGACACACTGAATACGCCACTTAAATTCTTCCATTGGTCCACAGATATATGGTGCAGCACGCCCGGCGGTGGCGTACACCAGAAGTCTGTGTCTGCCCCCTGGAACGTTAATACGAATATATGCCAGGTACAAGGCAAGTTCAACAAGGACAAAATCAAAGTAAGGATGGCTTGCCATCGGCCAAATTCTCCGATCGCCATAGACACTGGATCATCGTATGTTTTCTCCGTCCGTTGATCATCTTTGAAAACTCCAACGTTACCTGAAAGATGAAAAATAAAAAAAATTAAATATTAACTTCAGGTTCAACAAAAAATTTTATTTTCAACGTAATAGCCTACACGTCATGCGAAATGCTAACTGATTGGACACCGCAAGTAAACCACAATAATGTATTGAAATACATATACAAGAAATCGTTTCTTTCCTATCAATGCCAATTAATATCAAAATAATGAATGTTTTTTAAATATGAATACAATTCAATAGTATTATTATATACTATTCTTGAATAATATTTTAATGTTCAATCCAGTAGACGATAAACTACATTTTAAATGTATTTAATTTTATTTCGAGCAGGCAAAACGGACGAGCCTGACGTATCGCTAAGAATGATACAATTTTATGCATTCATTTAGTACAATATAATATAAATAGATGCTGAAAAATGACAGGTTACTCATTGAAAAACAAAATTCAATGCAATGATAAATAATAATGTTGGTGTTTACCTCATCGAACAACAAATGATCCAAATGATCTACAATTATTAAACAACACATGATATTTTCTCTGTATTTTATCGCATTTAAAACCACATTTATTAATCGACAGCAGGAAACAATAATACTGTAATAGTCCTTGAACGGTATGGAATTGCCATCGACATACATGTGTATGTGTGTGTCTGTGTGTTTGTGCGTGGAGAGAAGAAATTGTAATATATCGACAAACGCGGGGGTCCTTCTATGCGAACGTATACGCCGAGGATACAGAACAGAATAAAAATTAACTTCCGGACGTGTTTAGCCGGTACTGCATTAGATCCCGTTTACAAGCATCACAAATTACGACCGTAGTCGTTGCTGCCATTGCATCAATCACGAGCACCGAATGAAAGCGAAATTCGTTCTGAGTGTTTAAATTCTAATCGACTGACCGCCACCCATAAGTAATAGAAAACTGGATAAGATATCGATACTATTACTATTATCGCATGAACGTTTAGTATTGAGTTTTCGAGGTTACATTATATTTATATATATATATGTACATATATAAGATATTCGTTTACATTGAAACAGTTATCTATATACTCTCATAATAAATATTTTATTTATCACACTCATGAAATGTTAATGCTGTCTCTGCCGCGAAAAGAGTGTCAACATAAACACTATCTCTCCTATTAGATCGCATATTTGTTAAAGGGCAGATGGACAGTAGCGATGACTGAATCGCTTCTAACAATCATTTTTTTCTGATGCCATACGGTTTCATATTTGTCATTAATGTTAAATTACAGTTTGCATATTTTAATACTTGTTAAATATATTATATGCATGTACAATGCAATAAAAACGATGTATCATAAAAAATATCATAATACATGTAATAAATGTTATTAAGAAATCTACCTATCAAATTATGCGTCTATACTTAAAAATTTGTATTCAAAAACTTATAATTATACATTATTCAAATGAGAAGATAAAGCAGAGTCCACCCCTATAATGTTATTTGGGTCTTAATATAATCATCTCCTCGGACGAGCTTTAGACGTGCCACTGGTCTCGTGCTAAATCTATGTCTGTAACGTTAAGTTTCGTTAGCTTTTATCGATTTCAAACCGATTACGGGTGTTTCACTGTTTGCCATAACGTCCGTTGATCGTGCACGGCTAAAAATAATTCGCCTTCGGAGAAACATTTTTTGTTACTGCGATTGTTCGTAAACGTATTAGCCGTACACATAACATTTAAGTACGTACACATATTAAACGTCATATAATACCATGGTACCAAGGATAAAGTTCTTGATGTGTGCTTATGTATCTGTATATACATATACATACATACACGACCGATCTAGGTATATCGCACACTGCATACGTAATATTATAAATTGATTACATCTTTATACCTCTCTTCTTTCTCGCTCATTCTCTCGACCTCCGTTATTGCGTTCAGAAATACGTAGGCACACCATATATACAGATTGTGTACTCCATAACAGATCTGTGCGAATGTGTGTTATACATTTGAATAAAATATCGTTTTTCAATCGACTCCTTATTAAGCACCAACGTCTAACCAATTTGACAGCGGTATCTGTTGAGCTCAAAATGTCGAATGTGTATCGCGACGATCGTATTTGTTTATAATTATTTCAAAAAAAGTTTCGAACAATGATATAACATCTTAAGTGACATATTAACCGAGGTCCCATGATGTCAACATACACTAAAAAAAAATAAAAAGCTTTCTTATCAAATTTCATCAAACGTCTGTAATGTTTTTTTTTTTTGGTGTAATTTAATTGGTATGTAATAAGCAGTACCTATAGTATAGTTTTATTTGTTTACATTTGAGAGCAGTGTTTATTCATCATCACAATATTCGAAAAATTAATTTTAACGAATATCAGTGTATGAGATGTACATGTGTTTGTAAATACTCGCGATGGTAAAATTCGATGTGATGAATTTTAAACTTAAAAATATTTATTATATATTTAAAGAATAATCGACGGGGCCGAATCGTCTGAATTCTTAACATTCAATAAAATAACTCAGTGTTAGCTTTGTACAGAAAGCCATTAACTTGAACCATAAAACATAAAATTACTCATTTTGTCAAAAAAAATACAAACGGTTGCTGGACACAATTCTATATTATTTCAAAACGTTTTTTTTTTCACTTTTTTTCACTTTTAACAATATAAAACTGTAAAGAAAATTTAAAAATTACCGGAAAAAAATATCTCTTACATCCAATTACCAATTTTTAATTTATACTGTAAGAAACATTTGATATCAATATACAAAGAATACAAAACTTTGAACAAAAAAAAAAAAAGAAGGGGAAAAATTTAGAAAGACATTATTCTAGAACATTATTTTAATTTAAAATATATCAAGTGTAAATGAAATATACAAACCTGCTTTCCATTGATATAAGTAAAATAATATATGGTACAATTTTATAGTATACCATCTAGTTAAGATAAAAATATAACATTAGCTTAAAAACAAATATTATAAAATACGATTCGTATATGAAAATCAAACTAGTATATACACATATAAACTAGGGATGAGGTATCACGTCATCGTTTTGATCATTGTGTGACTAATAATTATTTACACTTATTTGTCTAAAATTTAAAGAACGACCCAAAATTTAAAAAAAAAAATTAGTTACACCTGTAAAAAGTTTTAAATACGAGTATGTCACTGAAGATTGACATGATATTGACCAATAGTGATGATAAATTAAAAGATAGATTTTAGCCGCATCTATTACGCAAACCAATTTTAGATTATATGTTTTATACAAATATACTATACAGTCAACAAGCACCTAAGCTTCAATCCTATAATACATTCTATATAATTATACCAAACTCGTACGTCGATTTCATAATTCCCTGAACGTATAGTTATTCGGTTAAATATTAGCTACACAATGGGTTTTTTTTTTTTTTGTAATAATTTAACTTCCAACATAGAGATTTTTAATGAAATTAAAAACAAACGATATATAATTATTTTTATGAATAGACCTATTAAAATTATAAATATTGTATATCGCCTAGTTACTATTCTGCTGTAAAGAAGCTTACGACTGACCACTCTTGCGTGTAAAAAAGTATAACATCGCTGAATTAAGTGAATAAATATCGCTTTAAAATATGTTCAGCTAGAAACTTATGCAAATTTAATGAAATTAACTCTATATAATGTAAATTTGTTTTTATCGAATTGGCGATCGGGAAACTCATGACATTTTAATTTTATCTCTAACAATAATAACTATACCCGGGAAATTTCAAAAAATATTATTATAGAAACATCGTCGTCATTATTCGTTCAAACTTCAGAGTCATGGCTATTTATCATTATTTTTTTTTTAAATACGTGGACCGTGAAATTTGCAAGGAAATAAAAGCATAATTTTCCATGTATAATTGCATGTGTAACCACTTTCGAACTTTATACATTTTTTAGCCAATTTAATAAAATATTAGCATATGACCTCGACTCTTATTCATTTGGATAATTGTTTTCCACAGTCCGGGATTTTACGTATAAAATTCATATTAAAATGTATTTAACGTTCCATTCTAAGATATTTAAATAAAACACACGTCATTTTTTTCGCACTGAAGATTCTAGTATGATTGAAATACTGCTACAAACCCGTCTTTTAAAAAAAAAATAATTATCCTTAAGATTATTTGATTCACTCATAAGCTAATAATAGTAACGTTGCTGAATAAAAATAATCGAACAACAGTGTTCGTGTGGGGAAAATTTAAATTATATTGGTATATAAGGTGTGTGGAAACAATGAAGTGATCGGAATCAAAAATCGATTAAAAAGGAACTTGGCTGTTCAAAACCAATTCAAATTTTTTGGAAAAATTCATTTATTCGTCATATTTTTTATTTTTCTAGCCATATTCTGTGTTAGTATAATAGTATACATATTAGTTAATAATCTGTGTTTATTTCTCAAATGGTTGAAATAAACCTTTTTTTAAATATTTACTGTTCTAAACAGCATTAATTTCTTATTAAATTCTTTGCAGTAGTTAGAAACTAACGCCAATGAAATAAATTCCAAGAACAAAACGGTAAGAAAATATAAGTAAACTTGTACTAAATACTTGTTAAGATGGAATATTTTAAGTATTTGAATAAACTTAACATTATTTTGAATCGGTTTTCAAATGCGTTAATTTATATATTTGAACTTTATTACTGTTCCTCGCTGAAAGTGTAAGTGATGAAGTTCTGTTGGATAATTATTTTGGTACATAGTATTTTCACAAAAAAATCTCGTTTTTAACATTAACAAACAATTTTTCCTTCTTTTAATAATAATACTATTTACTAGAAAATCAAACAATTTGTAAGAGATATTTTCTTTTCTTTAATTTTTTTCTTTTTTGCCACAGATCAAAAGGACGTAATTCCTACATAAATCATATAGACTATTAATAAACGTTCTGCAACAAAAATCGATTTACAGACAT